TTAATTCAATGAAAATAACAATAACAATTTTTATTTTTTAATTTTTTAATTTAATTTTTTTTTTTTTTAGCGGGAGCACTAGGGCAGTGATGTTTGCTGGAAGTCTGGACGTCCAAATTCTTCCAGAGCTCCAGCAGTTCCAATGGGAATTCTCATTGGAAGAAATTTTACCAATAGAACCTATATTATCGTCCAATAAAAATGCATATATACAAATAACATTAACTAATAAAAATGTGCATGTTTTCACGTGATTATTGCTAAAATAACGACTGGGATTTTGAACACGCATTTTTGACTGAAATAAATTAATGAAAGAAATTAAAAATATAAATTCTATTTTATAAAAATTTGACTATAGTAAAACAACCTATATAGCAGACATAGATTGATTATTTGGGCTGCCATCAATAGAATAAGGCAGATTAATATTTTTAAAAAATGAAAACCTTAACTTTCACAGTTCATATCTCGATGAGCTTTGAGGTTATCTTTATGATTTAATATTCAAAAGAAAGCTTAGATCGTAAGTTTTATTTTGACTATTAAATAATTATGATAGCTTAGAAAAATCCATCAAGGTGTGAGCTGTGGAAGGTAAAGTATTAATTTTTTTTAAAATGTTAATCTGCCTTATTTCTATTGACGGCAGCCCATTTAGTCAATTTAACACTAGTACGTATATATGTCAAATAGATATGTATATTATACAAATTAAGAATTGCATGTACTTTTTTTTATTGGAAGTCATTTGAAGTTACTGGAAGTTCCATCCAGCTAATAAAAATCTTCACTGGAACGGTCCAGTGGACACCCGATCACTAGAAGTAAATTTTAAAATTGGCTTGCACAAGATGCACATGCGCAAGTAGCTTTTTTTTTGTGCAAGAGAAGTTCTAAATGTATATGCACAAGTGTGCTATTAAATTTGAATAAGGAGCTTGCGCAAAAAATGATGTGCAAGAGAAATTATAAAATTTTTTATATTGCACCAAAATTTAAAATATGGATAGGCAAAGATATTCTGAAAAGGTTCGAAAGAAAAATAAATGAACATAAAATACGAGCAAGGCTGAACTTAAAATTTTGAGAAAATATCCAAAATATTCCAAAAAATCAAACAAAAATATAAGATATATCTGATATTGTAATTTTTAAATTTTTATACCATTGGATCACCTAGAGACAATAAATAAGTGCATATAAAATTATAATTTATATGCTCATGCATGTAAGTTTCGATCTGAATTTTAAACCCTGTGTGGAGATAATAAATATGTGCATATAAAAAAAATTTATATGCACTCGTGTGCAACTAGTAGTTGGTTTGTGCAAGAAGATTTTGAGCTGAATTTTAAACCCTGGTTAGGTTAAATGACCATCCAGTTCCAGTAATTCCACTGGAGCGTTCCAGTGGACAATACTGCACTAGGGCTTCGACTTTTTGAGCGTAAGGTTTCATCATGTTAAGTTTAAGGTTTCGTCTTTTGTCAGAAGAATTTGGGTTTCGGAGATTTCGTCTTTTGTCAGAAGAATTTGGGGTTCGACTTTCGTTAGAGGTTTCGTCTTTCATCATCGTGCAAAAAAGGTTTTGTCTAACAGCTATAAATATATGTTTATAATTTCATTTCCTCCTACAATATCTATTTTCAACATATCTAACTTTTAATTAGTAGTATTTAATTGTAGATGTATCAATTATAAATTTTGTCGATTAGAACATTTAATTATTATTTCGGAAAAATAGTCCAAGTAAATTACGCATTTTTTTTTCATATAAAATTCATTTATTCATCGCTACAATTAAATCAATAAAAAATTTTCAATCAAATTGGTCCTACGAAAGTTTATACAGTATTTCTGCGTATTAACATTAATGGGTTTATTTAGAATATCGTATCACCCGAAAATAACATGTATGACTTCGAAGTGACATCAATGTACGTCCCAAGATAATACACATGTTTGGTTATGTCAGAAGATCAGCCTTTAACTCAAAATAACGTATATATACTCAAAAAAACTTGCAGTTGGGCTTCTTTACGCGAAAGCATGATGCTCCTATTATTTTAAACTAAAGCAGTGTTTTATGATGTCTATTTAATGCCAGTTAAAAAGAAGCTAAATATGCTCAGCTGCTAAATTTCTCTATAACTAATACCATTGATTCGTATAAAAGCTTTATATAACTATATAAATATGACAAAATTTGTAATGAGTGAATTTAGAGATATATACAGTATTAATACATATGATTAAGTTGTTTTACATTCATTTCAGAGCAATCGGCGAATTTTATTTTGGTAAATTTGATATAAAGATTGTAAAATGACTGTAATGTGCTGAAATACAAACCTTGTTTATGGGATATCTATATAAGCATCTTATTGCTAAATTTATTTCGCGCAAGGTATGTTTTTAAGCAAAAAATACCTGTCGATTAAATAATACAGTCTAAATGTTCGGACTCTAATGAATCTAAATTAAAGTTTTTAAAATTAGTGTTATAAGGATAATGCGCATAAAAAAGGTTTCAACATAATATGTTTATTACCTTTGTCTAAAGCAATATGCAAATACTGTGTATACAAATTACTTAAATTATCAAGTTTTGGTAAGTTTGAACAGTTGACTAATCTACTTGTATAACAACATGCTTCTGAGCGCATTTTAAATGTTGATTGTGAGGAAATAATATTGCAAGTTTTAAATTCTTCAGCATTTTTAATTTGTACATATAATTCTGAAATTGGGTCATTTACTTCCACCATCCATTTACTAAATATTTCTATCAACGTATTAGCTGTTGGTCGACTTGTTGGTATAGTATCCCAACAATTGTTAATAAGTTGCTTAAATAAACCTGGTATTTCATTTTTAATTTTTGGGCGTGTGCCTTTACAAATATCAGAAGCCAAATGCATATCATGTGGAATTTCATAAAAAGGAGGTTTTTCAGAAAGTAACTCATTCATAATAATTCCAAAACTATATATGTCTGAAGCTTGTGAATAATTCCTTGATCGTATGATCTCAGGTGCAGTATAAGGTAATACTCCATATATTGTTTGTTTTTCATTATCAAAATTATTTATTTTATTTACGAAGAAACTTAATCCTAAATCTGTAATATTTATCCATTATAGTCATCATGCAAAATATTTCCCATATGAAGATCTCCATGAATTAATCCAGCCTTATGAATAGCATTGAGCCCTGTTGCGATATTTTTTAACATTTTTACTTTGCAGTTCCACGATAACATATTAGGATTATTATTTATATGATTACGAAGATTTCCATATTTAGCATATTCCAGAACCATCATGTACTCATTAGTGTTCGGATACTTAGTTAATCCATAACACCATATAGTACATTTCCCGTATTCTATATTGATGTGAAACTTAACCTAAAGATTTAGTAATATAATTTTTAAAATAAGCGGATGACTTATATACATTAAAAATTCGTACTCTAATAATCGTCATATACCTCTTGTAAAAATTCCTCAAACTTATGAGAATCATCTAAGCTTTTCAAAGCTACTATCATTTCACCGGTTCAAATTGCTGAATATACTTTACCAAATCCACCCCTATCTAGATATTTAATGTCTTTGAGCTTATCAAATTGAATCCATTCTAAAACATCGTAATAATTTGATGCTGTTAGTTGAGTTTCTTGAATAAAATTATCAATAACTTTATTTTCACTCGTCCACTTTGCAAATTTTTTTTCAAAATGAAGTATATTACATTTTTTACACCAGTTTTTACTTATGTTTAAACCATTGCATTCGTTGCATATTTTTAATCCTGATTTTAAATACCATTCGGATGCTTTTTTTTCATATTTAACAGTTCCTATGCCATTCTCAAAATAAAATCCGAGCTTATACTGTCCATCAGAATTACCACCTTCTGCAGATTTTAAATACTACTCAAATGCTTTTTTTTTATTCCTAGCAGTGCCTATACCATTTTCATAAAAGTATCCTACATTAAATTGTCCTTTCGAATTGCCACTTTCAGCAGATTTTAAATACCATTCAAATGCTTTATTTTCATCATTAGTTGTGCCTATACCATTGTTGTTGTAGTTTCCAACATTAAAGTGTCCACTTTCAGCAGATTTTAAATACCATTCAAATGCCTTTTTTTCATCCTTGGTTGTGCCTATTCCACTTTTGTAACAGAATCCAACATAAACTTGCCCCTTTGAATTGCCGCTTTTGGCAGATTTTAAATACCATTCAAATGCTTTTTTTTTTATTTATAGTAGTGCCTATACCGTTTTCATAAAGGAATCCAACATTACATTGCCCATAAGAATTACCACCTTCAGCAGATTTTAAATACCATTCAAATGCCTTCCATTTATTTTCGACAGTGCCTATACCATTTTCATAAAAGAATCCAATATTACATTGTCCATAAATATTGCCACCTTCAGCAGATTTTAAATACCATTCAAATGCCTTCCTTTTATTTTCGGCAGTTCCTATACCATTTTCATAAAAGAATCCAATACTACATTGCCCATAAATATTACCACCTTCAGCGGATTTCAAATACCATTCAAATGCTTTTTTTTCACTACTAGCAGTGCCTATCCCGTTCATATAACAAACTCCAAGATAATATTGGCTATTAGAATTGCCTCCTTTAGCAGATTTCAGATACCACTCAAATTTCTTTTTATTCTCAATAGTGCCTTTACTGTTTTTATAACAAATTCCAATATTTTTATCTCCATCTTCAAAAGATTTCAAAAATGTCTCAAATGTATCTTTAGTCATTTAAAATGTATATACTTTGATCAGATAATGTTTGCAAAATTAAAGTTTACTCATTCCAATTCAAATACTTAAGTAGAGTAATTTACTTAAAAAACATAAATACGTATTCTGGAGAAAAAATTTTAAATTTAAGTTATTCTGTTTTGTAGCAACATTTGTCACCTTAGTATAGTACTATAATTATTATATAACGATAATTATGAAGCCCTCAAAAAGGTAAGAATGCAGTAAATCATAAATTGAAGTTCTGTTTTACAAATTAATTTTCTACAGAATCGTGCTTCATATTGACCAGTTATTTGCTGCAATAAAGGGATTATCGTATAATTCTTTGTGAGTACCCAGCTATTTCATGCGCCCACTTATTATACACAAACATTGCTTACCTCCTACGTATCATCGATGTGCGAACTTTTGTTGTTTCATGTTTAAAAATGATCCACAAGTTGCATTATAATGCAGTAATGGCTAGGTCCTTACGTCAGAAATATGCAACCGCAATCTGTGACAGGTTAAACCACTGATTTCAATCACCGTCTGACTATGCCTTGCCTTAAATCATGATGAAAAAGCTATTGAATATATAAAAAATGATTTGATCATATTTGAATACTTATTTTTTTCGATTTCATAAATAAGTGGCAAAAATTGTCGAATAACAGTAATTTGGCAAATGATTGGCTACACGTGCCGCAAAGCGGCACGTGCTCATTTGCCAAATTACCGTATTCGACAATTTGCCCAATATTGGTTTTATCCGGAAATTTTTGTTCATGATTGGTAGGGAGTCGCTCGCTGAGTTTTAATTTTGAATACTGGAATAATATATAGTTATTGGATGCGAAGCATCCAGTAACAGAGTTATCTCACATTTTATTATGTTCACACTGTGGTATTTTCGGTGTTATTAATCATGGCTTTTATCACTAAAATTATAACAAAGAATGTTATATCCCCAAATACGATGCATTTACTTAATAGTATATTCCCGGAAATTTTAAAATTCTTATAGTGAACAATAAGGGGTTTCAGAATTAAACTTCGTAAATATTATTTTGATAAAATAAGATGACGTATTTATTTTGAAATAAGTGATGTACAAATCCTATTTATTTTTTAATTAAAATTCGAATACACTTATTTATATGATCTTCCTTATTATAAATTATTTTATTGTTAATTGATACTGCTTCTAATATCATTTTTTATTCCATGTGTACTATGTAACAACCCGTGTTTTTTTGTCAAGGTTATTTTCATCGGTCTATATGAAAATCACATGATTTTCATATAGACCAATATGACAACCTTCTCAAAATTGGTCTTAAAATTCGCTAGAAAACTAGTTTTTTGTACCAAAATTTCTGTTATTAAAAGCATTTTTTATTCAGTCAATTCAATATTTTACCTAATTGTTCATTCAAATAAAAAAAAAAAGTTTAAAAAAAAAAAAAAAACCACATTAAAAGTGATAATGAAAATGATAGTGAATTTCTTTTTGATTTGAATAACTATTATTTAAATCTTTAATGTCTTGGTAAGTCATAGGCGAAAAATGATTAGAAATATCATTTAGAGCTGGTCTTAATTGTGCCAGAGGTTTTGTAGAAGAAAGCCTAGGGATACGTGAATGTTTTTTTTTTTGATATTTGAGAACCATCAGAACCTAGATCTTGTGATTCTTTATAAGGCGCCTTAAATAGTACATATACTTTTTTTGAATTATGCTATGATTGTATTGGCAGCCTTTTTGATGGTACCGATGATGTTATCAGCAATGATTTATTTATTGTTCCCGGCAATGATTCATTTGATATTTCCAGCAATGATTCATTAAATATTCCCAGCAATGATTTATGCAATATTAACAGTGATAATATATATGATGTTCCTGGTGATGATTCATATGATGTTCCTAGTGATGATTCATACAAAATTTCCATCGATGATTCATGCAAAAGTCATCATGATGATTCATGTGATGGTTGTGGATTTTTTTTTGTTGAGGTGCTAAAAAAACAAGCCACTAATTAAAATTTAAAAATATATAATAATGTAAAATCTAATTTATAAAATGTAATCACCTTCATTATATTCTTCCTCTTCAAAATCCAAGTAGTTTTTTGTGTCTCAGAAAAGTAAGTAAACTCTTTATAAGGAATATCATCAAAATTCAGAGGGATTAATAATGAAGCCTCTGGTTATCATTTGGACTATTATAGGCCCTGATTTCTTCTCTACTACGATGGCCAGAGAACACCATATATTTATCTTTAGGAACATCCAAGTTCTAAAGCTGTTGAATCATGGTACGATGTAGTGAATAGTTGCAAACCTTACGACCATTGTCAAGGTTGATACCAGTAAGTTCTGCAATTTTTGGCATCATAGTATTTGTTCCCATCCGAGATTTCTTAAACCAAATCTTTTTATTCATATCTGTAAAAAAAAAAAAAATCAATAAAAATAGTACTACAAGATCAAAATCAAAAAAATAGCACTTTAAACCCTTTGTCACCTATATTGTTTCCAAGAAAATGAATTACAAGCATAAACAGGATGAAAAGAAATCAAATACAAAATATCCTCGATTGGTTTAAAGTGATTATTCACTTGATCTAAAGAAATAGGTATTTTTCTCGCAGAGCTTTTTCATATTTTAAAGCCCCACATTGATTGTTTTTCTCATGATTAAATATAAGATAAAGCCCACCATCATCTCAACGAGAAATATCTTTGAATTTAATTCTTTTAGCATTGCCACCACAGATACTACAGAGAAGTGACAACCAAAATAACACTTGTCATATTAACCCTTCATTAGTTCCAACTTCTATTGATTCATGGTTGAGAATATTAGAAATTTCTTTAGCAGTTAATGGTAAGGCTTAATCTGTTTTCCACAAATCTTCATTTTGCAATTTCTTTATTTTACTATCAAGCATTCTCAACGCCTTATTAAAATGATATGAATTTCATAACTTATATGGTTTAATCTTTTAAATAATGGGCACAAAAGCATAGCAATTATGAATAATTTCTGCTTTGTAATCTTTTCCATCTAGCTGTTTTAGCCAGGTAAGAAACTTGCACAAAAAGTTATCTAATTCTGCAAGTGACTCTATTTCCTCAATTCTTTTTTTATAATTTAAGGTTTTGCAAAACCTGTCAACAGAGCATAGCCACTTAGAGACAGTGTATAAAATCTCAACTCAAAAACATGTGAATGTTGTGCACAGTGCATATTAAATTTATGTGAACAATTTTAAA